GTTGGTTGATTAGACAAAGGGAATGAAGGGGAGGAGGGGACGGGAGGGAAAGACAGTGGAATGAGTCGGACTGGACTGTCCAGGTTCGTCTCTGACCACGCAACCAGGTAGCTCCGCATCACGTGCGACCCCAAGAATGGGGAGTCACCTACCCTCCACGTGTGTGCAACCTGTCAAGGCGCGTCCTGCCGTCACGACTAAGAAGAGAAACATTTGAAAATAAAAATAAGCTTAAAAAAAAAAGAACTTGCCAGAGATCACTCAACCAGAAGTAGGAAAGGGGGCAGATTGGCCCCCACGTCCTGCTCCTCACTCCTCTCCACGCAGCTGACCTCGAGGAGGCCCCAGGCTGAGCCGGACCTTGGAGGTCAAGCCACAGACGGAGGTGCCTGGGGAGGAAGCAGGGCCACAGACTGCCCCTCAGTCCCTCCCCAACAGCCGGCCCAGGGCCTCTCCACCCACCGCCCTGCAGACACCACCTGTCCTCATGCACCGACCAGCCTCCATCGGGCCCATGCTTCCCCCGATTCTCCTCTTCCCCATGCCAGAGACCGTCCTGGGCCACAGCTAGCTTGGCTTGGGAGTGACCAGAGAGGGTGATGCTGGAGCAGGGTTTTGAAGGGCCCATAGGAGTTCACCAGGAGGAGAGAGCGTGGGAGTCAAGGGTGACCATAAAGTTGTTACCTACACTCTCAACATTCTGGGAATCTCTGTGCCTCGGTTTCCTCATCTGTAGCATGGGAGAAAGGAGTACCTACTAGTTTCTCAGGTTTTTGTTGTTGTTGGTTTGTTGTTGGTACTAGAGATCGAACCAGGGATGCTTAACCACTGAGCCACCTCTCCAGCCCATTTTTATATTTTGTTTTGAGACAAGGTCTCGCTGAGTTAATTAGGGCCTCACTAAGTTGCTGAGGCTGGCTCTGAACCTGCAATCCTCCTGCCTCCGCCTCCCGAGCCCCTGGGATTCCAGGCGTGCGCCACGGCACGGGGCTTCTCCAGTTTTTGTTAGGACTAAACAAGTGGCTGCAGGTCACCTGACCCAGTGTTCCTGCAGAGCTTGCCCGGCGCCAGCCACTGCTCTAAGCGCCTCACACCTATTAAAAGTGGTCACACCCGCTTGGCACAGGCTGCACACAATGCACCTGGCTTTGCTACTGTGAAACTGTCATCGTCACAGCTGCACACCTGCTCTGAGTCAGTCACAGTGCAGACACATCACCCTGCCCACCCTGTGGGTCCCTATCCTCACAAATCTCTGCAGTGACCGTCACGGGGACCATTTTACAGAAGAGAAAGCCATGGTTCCAGGGGCTCCCCCCAAGAGGACCCAGGAAGACCCGGCTGCACCGGCGGGGACCCAGGCCCAGCCCAGGACCAGTGAAAATCAAATTGGTTCCAGCAAGATATGATGGAGCTCTGGACCCGCCGGAGCCTTGACAAGGTGGCAGCAGCGGGGGAGTGAATCCAGTGTCCTTCCAAGTGGGAGGCTTCGTGGCCAGCCACCCCTCCCAGCCAGGACAGATGTGAACAGGAAGCAAGGTCCAGGGTTCCCGCAAGGCGCTTCGCCACAGGACACGTGCACTCGGGAAAGGCCACCTCGTGAGTGTCCCTGGAAGCCGGAACAGCTGGGGACACGTCGGTCATGGCAGCATCCTGTGGGCGATTTCATCAGAGCTGATCCTGAGAGTCAGCTTTCCTAGGAGAGGAGGGGACAGGGCCCAGGAAGGTGCTGACCGCACGGAAGTGGATGATGTGAAGCAGCAACTCGGGGCAGGGCCGGGGGGAGGCAGAGGGACAGGGGGCCTGGGCTTGGGGCTAAGGCCCAGCTCTGCATTTCCCGGAGGGGCAACCTCAGGGGCTCCCCGTGGCCCCCAGAGCCAATTGATGAGAATTTAAAATCTAAACTCCAAGTAGTGAAGCCGGGCACGGTGGCACACGCCTGTCATCCCAGCGACTCGGGAGGCAGAGGCAGGAGGATCGTGAGTTCAAAGCCAGCCTCAGCGGAAGCAAGGTGCTAAGCCACTCAGGGAGACCCTGTCTCTAAATAAAACACAAAACAGGGCTGGGGATGTGGCTCAGGGGTCCAGTGCTCCTGAGTTCAATCCCCAGTTCAAAAAAAAAAAAATCCGTATCCCATTTCCATATTGATTGGTTAACACATCTGTGATCTCACTCATCACCCCTGTGGCCAGGCTCACGCACAGCTATGACCCCAGCCACTCGGGAGGCTTGGGCAGGAAGAGCCTAAGTTTGAGGCCAGCCTGGGCAACTGAGTGAGATCCCATCTCAAAAGAAAATGTCTGTCTGCTTGGTGACCAGAGATTGAACTCAGGGGCCCTGGACCACGAGCTAGATTCCCACACATTTTAATTTTGACACAGGGTCTTGCTAAGTTGCCGAGGGTCTTTGCTGTTCTCAAACTTGCGATTCTCCTGCTTGAGCCTCCCAGGTCAACGGGATTACAGGCCTGCACTACCACTCCCAGCAAGAAAATGTTTTTAATACATGTATGTTCTCTCTCTCTCTCTCTCTCTCTCTCTCCCCCTCCCTCCCTCCCTCCCTCTCTCTCCCCCTCTCTCCTCCCTCCCCATCTTCCTTCTTCCTTATAATTTACTTATTGAAGAAACTGGGTCATTTGTCTGATAGCGCATCCCATGGTATAGATTTTGTGAATAAGGTCAACGTTTTCACCTGTGAAATGGGGGTGGTCCTCCTCCCCAACATTAAGTGAGGTCATGACATGAATGAGGACGGACAACCAAAGGCACCCCACAGTGTCATGTGTTCATATGTGTTTGAGTCCTGCAGTAATGTTCTGTGGCTTCTGTTGTTCTGATGCTATAACTGGGGTTCAGAGATGCTTAGTAACCTGCCCACGCTCACACAGCTGGCTGACGGGAGAGAGAGGAGACAGGGCAGAGGCCCAGGCGGGGGCTCCTACTGCATCCTCGAAGAGCGTTAGGGTCTGTGTGAGTCTCGGTTCCTCCGTCTGCAGATGCAGGCCAGGAGATCCAAGCTGCCTGGGGCAGCGTCCCTCCTCCCCGACTGGGGACGAGGCTCGGCTCTGGCATGCTCAGCCTGAATCCCCCGCGGCCCCCAGCCCACCCCCAGGCCGGCAGCGACAGGGTGGGCGGCCCCCGAAGCTGAGCACACTCTGTTCCCAGGGTAGCCTGGGCTGGCAGCTGTGACCTCTTGGGCTGCCAGAGACAATCGGCTATTCTCCTTCCTCCCCCTCCATTTTGCTGTGTATCCTTTGGGCCACGGAGCCAGAGGGAAGTGCCACACCTCCCAGCAGCACCCGTCCCTCCGGCCAGCCCAAACGCAGCCTCCTGCCTCCACCCAGCCTCTAGAAGCTCAAGCCTCCCGTGCGGTTCACGCCAGGGGGACGGTGGCTTTATGATTTCTGCCCAGGTTCTGGGTCATCTGTTCATTCCACAGGCTGCCTGCTGGGCCTGGAGAATAATGACAATGACAGCCACGAGGACAATGATCATGGCCTGGATGAGCAGCCACCGGCTCTTGGCTTTGGATCAGAGAGGTTGAACGACGAGCCAGAGCACACCCAGCTGCAAGCTGGGCCCCAGACCACGCCTTCTGCCCCTCCATGCTGAGACCAGGGCCAATGCACAGCTCTGGATGGGACCCACAGGGGGAGATAAGCGTCACCTTCCAGAAACTTCCTGGGTGAACGGCCACGTGTGCTTGGCTTTGAACGTTGCCAGACCAGCCTCTCCCATCACAGCAGGCTTCCGACTGCAACCTGCCCTCGGTCAGACCCTCCCGGTGACAGGCCTGGCTCCTTCGCCCCATCTGGAGTTCTGGAGGTTAAGGGTCCAGGTGACAAACTGTCTGGGCCCAACAGCGAGGCCCGGGGCCCCAGGACTCCGCAGTGAGGAGGTGTTCCTGGGGGGTTGGGGGGGCAGCCGAGGAAGCACCTGTCCACCCCAAGGCTAGTGCCCCTAGTCCTGAGGCTGGTCAGACTCTCTTCAGGACAGACTGCACCCCCTGGGTAGGGCTGGCTCTGTCCTGGCCACCTGTCCTCTCCCAGTTCCAGGCACAGGCCAGGTACAGAGGGGACACTCAAGAGCCGGGATTGGGAGGAGGAGAAGCAGATGGAGCCCGTCCAGGGGTGGCAGGCTGCAGCCCGCCCTCAGGGTCAGGAATCTCTGCGGAGCGTGGGGTGGTTTCCCTGGAGGAGGAAGGTCACACCATGACTCCCATGCCCAAGCGTCCCTTGGCGGGGACAGAGGAGCCCCCATGTGCGCCCAGAGAAGCGTGAGCCCTGGCGAGGGAGGGGGACAGGGTGCCAGCTGAAAGGGGGAGGACTTCAAGACAAGTGGAGCCAGCACAGCCCGCAGGACGCTCCGAGCTCCCGGCATCAGGAGCTGCACAACATGGGGACAGGGGTGCCCCTGCGGCTCCGGGGGTCTTTCTACACCAGGGTGGGTGGGGCCAGCACGGAGACCCCAGCTCTGCACCCTGGGAGCCCCCAAGTCAGCGCATGGTCCGGGCCAGGAGCCTCCATCTCCATCTGAGCGAGGCGACCGTGTGTCATCGCCCCCACCCGATCCCCACTGCGCCCCACTGCGGGGGTCTCATCCCATCTCACAGGTCAGGACATGGAGGCTCAGAAGGCCAACTAGCAGCCTGGAGCGGCAGCAGGGCAGACCCTGGGCGGGGGGTGGGCTGCAGAGGAGCCGTCACACCCCAGCAACCCACTCGTGCGCTTCCCAGGGCTTTAGCGGCCCCCATGGGCGGTTCCCGGGGCCCCCCTGTGGCCTGAAACCAAGCTCTTCCCCTGGGCTGACCACAGGCCCTGCCGCCCCAGCTGCCCCGCCAACCGCAGGCAGCCCTGGCCTCCCCACACGGCCTCCGCGGTCTCCCGAGGCTCTCCACCTCGGGCGGCTTTTACCATAATGGTCCCCACAGGGGCTGTGGGCTCCCGCTTGGGTGGCCGAGGCCCCGCGACCTCCAGATTCACGTCACTCTGGCCACAGGGCATCGTTTCAGCTTAATTTTATTTCCTCTTATAAATGGGCACAGCACGGGAAATGTTAAAAAATAAACCAAGAAAAATCAAACGAGAAAACAAAAACAAACCAGTTCCTTCCCAAGGCTGGACAGGCGCGCGCCCGCCACGGGCAGTGCCTCGGTCTCCTCGTCCACAGTCTTCCTTCTGATTCTCCTTATCGAAAGTTTTGGCCATGACTCAGGACGGGTAGGGTTAATCACAGGTTACCGGGGAGGGACAGGGCAGGGAAGGCCTGGGGTGGGAAGGACAGTCCCCCGCCCACCGCAGGCCGGGATCCGGGAGGGCTCTGTACAGGAGAAAGGGCTCACCAGAGGGGAGGGGACACTGTCTTCAGGTGGCTCTCTGGAGCCACACTGCCTACGAAAAATATTTACATGCATTGCCACGCTGGGGCCAGGCGCCCAGAGGTGCCAGGGGGGCACCCGGGGGATGCTGGGAGCATCGGCCCTCAGTGGTGATTCCCAGGGCCCCGTCTCAGCGTCTCTGAAATCTGTACAGTTTGGGGGCTTCTATTTACAGGCGGGAGTCCCGGGGAGCAAGTCCAGGGTTGTGTAGTCAAAAGAGCCAGGAGAGCCACGGAGGCCACTCCTGCCCTGGAGGACAAGTTGGGTCCACTCCCTGGGGCCCAGGGCTCCAGCCTGGAGGCCTGATGGACAGGCTTTGCCAAGCCCAGGGGGTCTGGCCAAGCACCCGAGGCCCTGCCACAGGCCTGCCCCGCCCTGCCCTGTCTCCAGCAACCCGGGACCCCTGGACAGACACAGCCTGGACTCTTGAAGTCACAGCAGAGGGGGGCCCACCCCCCATCCTCTGGCCCCATCCTGCCTCACAAGAGCTCGAACCACACAAGCTCCCTCTCATTTGGAATGTGCTGTGCTTCCGGGAAATGCCAGGATACCCTCCCAGGAGCACTGGGGTTCTGTGGACCCACTTGGCAGGCCCCACATGTACCGCACCATGCCTGGGCCGGGCCAGGACCCTGTGCCCACATTGCACTGAGAGCTCCAGCTCCGCCTGGCGCCGAGTCCTCCTGGAGCTGCCCGCTCTCGCCCTCCTCTCAAGTGCTGAGGACACAGAGAACAGGGGCCAGGACACGAGGCCCAGCCCGCCGCCCTGAGCCAGCCCTCAGGAAGGGCTGGCAGGGCCACCCCACCAGGGCGCCAGCCTGATGCAGAGGCTGTGGCCACTGCTGAGTCTCCGCTCAGTGCCAGCGTCCCCTGGGCTGCCCAGGCCCTGCCTCCTCACACTCAGCCCTCAGTCTCAGCCCACCCAGGCCTCTCACCAGAACTGCTGTCCTCAAGACAGCAGCCCACCAGGGAGCAGGTGGAACGAGGCTGGGACTCATGGTCCTCTTTGCCCCCGCGCCCTGCCCTTCCCTGCAGGACAACTGAGGCCCAGCAGCCTGTCCCTGCTTGCCAGGCCTCGTGGGCCAGGATTCCTTCCCCACCTGTCCCTTCCTCAAAGTCTGGGCCCTGTCTAGGCTGCCTTTGGGTCTACAAGATGGAGCTCGGCCTGAAACCAGGACCCCGGGAAAGACAGGCTGCAGTGGCCCCTGGGACCCTCACCCTCACTGCCTCAGGCACGCCTGCCCTCACCCTGCGAAAGTCTGCTGCCAGGGAGTCTTTGAAAAGGGAACAGAAATAAAACTGAGGTGGGTGTCTGACTTGAGTCTGGGTTGTGGGCGAGGGGTAGGGGTGGGAGCACCAGCCCATGACAATTCACACCACATCCCTGGGCTCCCAGAGCCCTGGCCGGGCGCTCCCTCCCCCAAAGACTGGTGACCGTACACTCCAAACTCCTAACAAAGGGCCCATCTCTCAAGGGTAACCAAAAGGGTGGCTTGGGACCTGTGACGGCACCACCACCCCAGTCACCTGCTCTACTCCCCCAAATCTCTGCCCTCGGAGTCGGGGGCACCTGCCTGGGCTGCTTCTGGCTGAAGCCACAACTAGTAGGACTCCAAGCAGGTCCCCAGGGAGGGCCCTGGGTGGGTGGGTGAGGATGGCCTGGTAGGTCAAGGGCAGAGGAAGCAGAGGGCCTGGGCGGAGGGCCCACCCTCACAGGCACTTTGGAGACTTGTGTCCTGGGAGGCAGAGTTGCCCCCTAGCTCAGAGCAAGTAAAGGATTTGGGGAGAGCAGAAGCCATGCCACATGTCCCCTCCCCACCCAGGACCTTCCAGGACCCAAGAACCCTCCACAGTCTGGGGCCAAACTCCAGGAACCAAGCCCTTCTTTCTTCAGCCTTGGAGAAGCCCCAGAGCTCCGGGTGGTGGGGGCTGGCCCCAGCCGCCCTTTGGGGCTGGAGGTGGAGGGGTGGGGGTGAGGCCAGGCCCGGCTCAGGTACAAAGCCCTGGGGGGGCTTTTTCCAGTGCCCCCCACCACTGAATCCAGGAAAGACCAATGCCCTGTCTCCCTCCAGCACAGGGATGTGGGTGAGGCTGAGTCCATGTGGGACTGGGTCTGGCACAGGGCGGGACGGAGGTGACGCGGCTGGTGCAGTGCCAAGGGGTGAGACTGAGTGTGACGGGGCGAGGCGGGGACCCAATATGGGCTGATTGTTCCAGCTTGACTCCACCTTCCCCAGTGCGCCCAGAAGCTGGAGACGACATGTGTGGTGTCAGGGTTTGTGTGGGGGAGGCATAAAAGAGAGAGGAGGCCACACGTCACCACTCGGGTGAACGGGACTAGCCACTCGCCTGACGGTAGTGTTGGGGGGTGTTTCAGCAATGGGTGAAGATAAACATCTTTGGAAGAATGTCTGTTTTTGCAACATGTCTTGATTGGTGGGGAGGTCAGGACCGTATATGACCTTGTCATTGTGGCCACATGACAATGTGTGGAAGAGTGTGGGCAACGATGTCTGTGGTATTCCCCCAGGAGCGGTGTGCAGCAGCATCCTCTCACCAATGGCTGCTCTCGCGCTCTCTGGAAGCTGTTTCCTCGGGGGAAGACCCAGAAAGAGGTGAAGCCTTGGGCACAGGTGCTGGGCAGGGGAAGGGGAGAGTGGTCCCACAACCCCAGAGAGGCGAGGACAAAACAGGCTGGTGACAAAGGGCACCCTCTCACCCAGGCAGAGAGAGGCCCTGGGACAGGAGCAAGAGGTTGCTGTGTCTAGATTGTTTCAAGGGCAGAGTCTGCCACATGTTGGTCCTGAAAGCCAGCCTGGAGGGCCTCTCTGCCCACAAAAGGAGACCTCAGCCAGCCCTGCAGGGCCAGGTGCCCATCTCAAGCCCCACCCCTTCTCCTTATTCCACCAGCCAATCAGGAGCTTCCTTCCTCCTGTCCATCTGACATAAGGTCCTGAAGCCTCAGGCTGGTGGGGGGACAAGAGATGAGCTCGTAAGGGCACAGTCTGGGGCAGACAGCAACCACCCCTGCTCCTCAGGGATGATCTGTGTGAGGCTGGCAGCCTGGGCGGGCCTCGAGAAGGAGGGCAAAGGAGAACTGGGGCCAGGCTCCCTGCTGGGCCCAGTTCCAGGCCTGGGCTGGTGGGGCTGGCCAGGGACTGGGTGGAGGGGTGGTGTCGAGGCAGCAAGGAGGCACTGCGGCTCCGCTAGGCATAGAATTCCTCCTGCTTGTCAGGCTTCTGGTAGGTGACGCTCGCCTGCTTGGGCTCCTCCAGCGTGTAGCTGCCTTCATCCTTCTTCTTCATGCGGTAGATGAGCAGCGTGACCAAGAAGGCAGCGAAGAGGGCACCCACGACCCCGCCCACAATCACGGCTGTGGAAAAGAGGGCAAAGTTGAGGCTCAGAGGCAGGAGGTGAGGTAGAGGACCCCAAGCAGGGGACAGGGTGTGTGTGTGTGGGGGGGGGGCTGGGAGTCCTGAATCTGCTCTCAGAGTCGGAGTGAAGTTGGAGTCGGTCCCAGCATGGCTCCACGGTCACCCGTTCCACCTGCCCGACACTCTGATCCTTTCCTCCAGCCCTCTGGGGGGGGACCAGGTGCCACCCATCCGAAGATGCTCCAAGACTTTCAAGTCCCAGGGAAGAAAAAACTCAAATGCCAACTAAACTATGGCCCTTCCCCGTCACAGCACTGACCTAACACCCTGACGGCCCGGGCTCCAGAGGAGGAGAGGAGGCCTGGGGCCACACCAGTCCTCAGTGGGAGCCAGGATTTGGGTCACTAGTCTAGGACCCTGCAGCAGACGTGGCCAGCACAGGAGTGGGGGAAGGACAAGGTGGGGCAGGGATGGGTGCTCAGCAAGTGAGGGCCCACAGGGCTGACCAGTGTGTCCCGGGAAAGTGGGGGTCAAAGTCAGAGTCCAAAGAGGAAGGCGCTGGAAGTAGAATAAAGCCAGGGTCAGACTCTGGGAAGGAGGGAGGTCGGGAGAAGCCGGGGCAGGCCCTGGGGTGGAGTCCCAGCTCTCACTTCCTAGCGGCTCCTAGGAAACCAGGCCCTGGCGCCCCCTCTTGGTTCCCAGAGGCACCCTGAGGCCATTCAGCTGCCCCCACCCCCCCTGGGCAGAGCCGGGCAGAGCCGGGCCTCACCTACGAGCACCTCCTTCCGCTCCAGGATGCTCTTCTGCGGCAGCTGAGCAGCAGAACTGCCCGAGTCGATGGCATTGTCCAGGAGGCCGGGGCCTGGGCGGGCACCCTTGGGCAGTGTCCCTGGTGGAGGTGACGGCTTGGCCGCCGCCCCTCCCACAGCCACCACCTCATTGGCTGTGTCTGGCTGTGTGGTCTCTTCTTCCGGCAGCTCAAAGTCCCCGCTGGGGCCACTGCTCACTGGCACCTCTGGTTCATCCCGGATGGTAGTCAGGAAGGATTCTGGAGTTGGGGTCTGCAGAGAGGGTGGCATGAGCCCAGGATCCAAGGCCAGTCACCTCCTGGCAGTCAGTCACACACAGAAGGCCACCACTCCACTGCCCCAGTGGGCCAAGCCTAAGTATTCACTCTGCTTAGTATGCAAAGCCTCGTCCTCATGAAAGGAGGATGATGACCACCAATTTATAGTGCAGGAGACATGCTCAGAGAAGTTAAGTAACTTGCTCAAGAACACACAGCTGATAAGTCATAGGAGCAGAACTAAAATCTAGATCTATCCAGCCCCTAAAGTCTGTGTTTCTAATCACTGTACAATGCTGCCTCTATTCTCGGTCTGGCCACATCCTGTCCCTATCCTGTCTCCATCACTTCCCCTCCAGCAGCTTTGGTAACAATCCTTGGGGGATTCCTGTTGAGAAGCGGCATGGGGACTGCCAGTGCAGGCGTATGAACTGGGCCTGGGGCAGGGTCAGTCCATTAGTCTGGAGGCCGGTCCAGAGCACAACATGCAGCACGTGATGCCCCTGGGGGACCAATGTCCAGGAATCCAGCCCAATGACTACAATCCTGATGGTCCCTCCATGTGGAGCAAGACCAGAGCCACGAGCCATGAGACCAGAGTGGGGGTGTGGCGCCCTCAGGGCGGGGCTGCGGGGCTGGTGGGCGAGGGCGGGCCCAGGGCCTGCAGGGAGAGGCCATGCGCAGAGCCACACCTGCTGCGGCCTGGGCTCAGCCCTGCGTGGCCCCCCTTGCCGCCCGGCTGCCCCAGCTGCTTGGAGGAGCCAAGAGACAAGCCCGTGTCCTGATGGGGCTGTCCTGAGCAACTGCCCTGGCTTAAGGGCAGCTCCACAGCCCTCGGGTGCCTGTCCACGAGGCCAGCTGCACAGGGCTCTGTGCCCCTCCAGTGCCGCCGCATGGCGCTGCATGGCGCCACATGCCCCTTGCCTGGGGCACCCACCAGGGACCAGACCACAGCTCCCCGTTCCTGGCTACCTGTCCATCCCACATCCTTCTCCCTCCAGCCCTGACCCCCTCCCTAACACCCCAGACGCATGCCCATACAGGGCCCGGCCGGGACACTGCCTGGCCTCAGGAGCCCACTCCCTGCCGGCTAAATCCTGCCTTGGAAGGCAGCTTGGCCTTCCCAGCAGTGCCCCCCGGGCTGGGCCGAGCTGCAGGAGACAACAGTGAGACCCCGAGGCCCCTCCACAGGAAGCCCGTGTTCTGCTGCTCCTGCGGGCCTAAGCCCCCTCAGGCCAACCACAGCCAGGACCGATGCCCTCCAGAGACGTGGCAAGAGCTGAGCCTCCACGGCTCCCCCTCGCCACGCTCCAGCTACGACAGGAAGTTCAACCTCACAGCACTGAGAGGGCTTCCGGGTTTTTTGTTTGTTTGTTGTTTTTTATTTTTCCTTTTCACAAATAAGCAAATAGGATCAGTGCCCAGCCTGAGGTCTCACCCTAAGAAGCTGCAGCAGAGGATTCAGGGCCAGGCTGCCAGGCTCCTGAGTCGCCGCTCTCAACCAGGACACCAGGCCCAGCCCCCTCACCCACACCCAGGCCCAGTCCCTCCCCCGGGAGTCCTGTCCCAGCATCAGGGCCCAACCCCCACCCCGGCTTCCTGTCCCTCTCTAGGCCATCGAGCTCCACCTCCGTCCCATCCTGTCCCTTGTGCCCAGCCTTGATCCTCTGGCCCTGACGCTCCACCAGGCACCCTAGAACCTCCTGGCCCTCACCCTGCCCGGCCCCATCATGCCCGGTCCTCTACCAGGTCCTCACCTGAGCCCACTCTGTGGGTCCAGGGGCAGTGGTCCCCAGGGGCAGGGTGCTCCTCTCAGTGACATCAGGCTCCTGGGTGGTAGCCGGCCGCGGAAGGGCTCCTGGCCGGGAGGTAGCTGCGGTGACCAGCCTGGGTGTCGGGGCCTCGGTGTCTAAGTCGGCCACCGTGGTGGGGGGGGAGGGCGCTGCTGGAGAGGTGGCCTGGGCTGTGGCGGCTGTGGTCAGTGGGAGAGGCGGAAGCCTCCGGATGCCGGTGGTCCTCACAAGAGCAGTGGTGGCCGTGGCCGGGGATGCTGCAGGGATGCTGGGGGCCGCGGTGGCCTCAGTGGCGGGCACCGTGGCCACCGTGGGGGCCCCTGTGGTGGCGGCAGCGGTGGCTGCCGTGGTGGTGGGGATGGTGGTAGCTCTCTGGCTAGGCTCCTCTGGGGCCTCTGTCACCACTGGAGGGCTGGTGACAGGCTCTGGGGTGGGGCTCTCGGAGGGGAGCTCTTCAAACGGGGTGCCCACAGGCTGGATGTCCGTGGTGGGCAGCACAGCGGGCGTGGTGGACACAGCCAGGGCCACGTCGGGGCTGAACCGCATGGCCGTCTCCAGGCCCGACTCCTGCTCGAAGTCTGAGGGGGAGGGAGAGGGAGAGAGCTAGGGAGCTGGGCCACCGTGAGGGGCCGGAGGACCCAGGTCAGCCTCGCCACCAGGATGGGGACTCCCAACCCCCGCTTTGCCCGATTTCCCCAGGAAAACTTGAGGGAAAGGTGAAGGCCGGCCTGGCCACGGGTGGCTGAGCCTGCCCAAGTCCTCTCCGCCTGGCCGGAACTTCCCTACTGTCCAGCGAACCCGGCCCCGGGCTTCATCAGGTGGAGGCCGGGCGGGGGCAGCGGAGACCTACTGGCTGCCAATCTCCCTGAGGACTCAAGAGAGAAGAGACGCCTGGGAAAAGCTACACTCCCGGGCACACGCCCAGCCCAAGCTCACCAGCGGGCACCCCGGGGGGCCCAGGGGGCCCAGGCACGGGGCGAAGGAGGCCTCCTGTGGGAGTCTGTCTGCACCGCGGGGCTGAACCAGGGTGGATAAGTGAAGGGACCGGAAGGAAGTGAGACGAAGGAGCAAGCGGGCTGGGCAGCGGGAAGAGCAGGACCACAGGGGGCTCCCAGGGGGGCGGACACAGCAGGCAGAGAAGGCAGGAGCCAGGAGAGCCACCAGGCAAGGGGCTGGGTTTGGTTTGAGGTTAACATGGAAGAGTCTTAAAGGAACGGCTCCAGAAGCCCAGAGGCCCGGCCACGGCAGCCGGTCCACAGCACGGACCCCATCCCGTCTCGTCCACACCGCGCCCCTCTCTGGCTGATCCCAGCCCCCTCTTCAGGTCATTTCCAGAGCTCCTCCTCTGCCAGACCCCCCTCCTGGAGCCGGGGGAAGACGGTGTATTTCTTGCCATTTACAGGTGACCCCATGGACGCCCCAGGAGGCGCTGATGAGGGTGTGCGGCTGGCTGATCAGAGGTGACTGGGAAGGACCTGCCCAATCTCACAGCTCACCTGCCCGAGGGCAGGGCTGCAACCCACTGTCCGACCAGCCCTTCTTCAGCCTGCCCCAGCCCGACCCTTGGACACAGCTGTTTGGATCCAAGAGGACCACGCGGCCCAGTGTGGGCCAATCAGACCATCCGCGCCGAGGACGTGCCAGGCCACAGAGGAGGGGCTGAATCCCTTCAGGTGGTTGGAACAGGGTCATGAACAGGGCCACTGAGGAGTGCTCCTGACGTGGCTGGAGGGCAGGGTCTGCAGGGCTGCAGAGACCCCAGCAGCACACGCAGAGGCCCCTGAGACCAGGGAGGGCCGGGGCCGGGCGCCCTCTGGGGAGGATCCGCTGCCCTTCTCCTTCAGGTCCACCAGACAGCCCCGCATGACCTCCACGCGAGCAGGCTCCTGGAGGTGGGACAGGCAGGGACGCAGGGGAGTACTTACAGCCTGAGCCGGACCCTGAGTAGAGGTCGTCCAGTTCATCGTCCGGGAAGGAGTCATCGTCCCCAGAGCCCTCCAGGTCCACGGGCCTCTCAAAGTTCTCACTGCGCCAGCGCTGAGCCTGGAGGACGGAGACCAGCACCGGTCAGCACCCAAGGCCAGCAGCCTGGACACACCCAGAGGGACCACGGCATGGTGGAGAGCTGAGGGACATCTCCTGGGCAACAGAGGGCTGAGGCCTACTGATGACCGCTTCCCGTTTGCTCAGGGGCAGGGCACAGCCCCATCTCCTGCCTGATGGCCACCAACAGGGACCCCTGGCTGCCCTCTCACCCCCTGAATGGAACCCCCGAATGTCAGAACTGGGTTTAGAGCCGGCAGTGCTGGACCTCAGTCCTGGCTCCATCATCTACGAAGTGTGGGACCTTGGGCAAGTTCTCTAGCCCCTCGTGCCTCGGTTTACCCACTTGTAAAAGACACAAAGAGCACCCGCCTCACCCAGCTGAGGGCACACTGCGCTGGGGTTAAGCAGCACCACGTGCACCCCTCGGGCAGCAGGGCTTGGCACAGGCCCAGCTGGCCCCTGGGCAGCAGCAGCAGCCCACTCACAGGTGCCGTCCACAGAAAAGGCCCCAGGTGCAAAGGGCATCAGCCCAAGGCACAGGTGGGGACTGAGGGCTAGCTCTCCCAGGCCACCGAGAGCAGGGGATGAGATCTAGAGATCCATCTTCTGCTTGGGACGCTAAGTGGCATCTCTAATTCCCAGAGCCAGCAGGCCCCCACCTCCAGCTCCACACGCGGGAGTCCTGTGGAGACTGCTCCTGTCCCTGCAGTTCAGCGAGCAGCCTGAAGTCACATGCAGAACGGGGAATGAGCAGGGACAGAGACAGGGGTGTCAGGGTGTTGGGGAGCAATGGCCTTGATGGGGGAGGAGGCAGGGAGAGGGGGGACCAGCTCCAGCCCTGGCCCTGAGTCTTCCCAAGACAGGAAGTTAGCTCCCTGCCCTGGCCCAACGCCTGCGATCTCGGGGCCCACTCTGGGGCTCAGGGGGTGGGAGGGGCTTCTCCGAGGGCCCAGCGCCTGGGGCCTGACTCCTCCGAGATCAACTCTTCGCCAGCCCCTGTGGCCCTGGGCTTGGAGCCAGAGCTAAGGGCCTCAAAGGCAGCAAGCAGACCCTCAAAGATGGGCGGGCAGGGGGTGCCCTGGCTTGGAGGCCCTGCCCCAGCCCTGGGAGCTTTCACAAGAGACTGAGATGGACTCCTGGTGCCCGGACATGAAGGGCAGGGCATGTGAGTCTTCTGCACTTCAGAATAAGAGAGAGAGAGGCCTGTCCACAGGAGGAAGGAAGCAAAGCTCCAAGGTGGGCAGTGCAGCTGGTGCCCGGGAGCCGGCCCGCCAGCCCTCAGTCTCACCAGCGTGCCCCCCTGCTCCTGGACTAGGCCAGGTCTGCGTCCTTCGCTGCTGCTGTTCCCTCCCCTCACGACACTCTCCCTTCCACCCCCTTGTCCTCCGACTGGGGCTAACTTTCTTTTTTTTCTTTTCTTTTTTTTTTTGCAGTACTGAGGATTGAACCCAGGGCGTTCTGAGCCGTACCCATATTTTGAGGCAGGGTCTTGCTAAGTTGCTGAAGATCTTGCTAAATGGTTGAGGCTGGCCTTGAGCTTGCCATCCTGCCTCAGCCTCCCAAGCCGCTTCGGTTATGGGCACGCCCCACCATCCCCGGCTCCCAGGTGGCTCTGAGGAGCCCTCCTACTTGAGCTTCTGGAGCATCCTGGGCTCCCGATTCACAGCTCAGATCCACCGTGAGCTGGGTTTGCTCGGGGCGTCTCGGGGGCTGTGCTAAACTTGGGGAAGACGGCATGTGCTGTCTGGTTTGGCAAGGGGCCTGGCCCGAGAGGGTTTCAGGACACATTTGATAAGGATGGAATTGGAGTCAGAAGCGGTGACGGGTTCACTGGGCAGGGGAAGGGCAGGTTGGGGCTGGAGCTGAGGCTGGAAAGACAGTGGATGCCCAGCCTCCAAGGTCTCCAGTGCCTGATGGGCAACTTTCTCTTAGAAATCAGTGATTTTTTATCCCGATTGCACATCAAAATATGGTGAAAGCTGAGCCCAGGGCCGGTGGCCCTCAGGCAGTGCCTGTGCACCTGCAATGTCTGGCTGGCAGTGGGAGCCATGAAGGTATGTGGGCAGGAGGGGCCGGGCCTGGCACCACACGGCCCTGCAGCGCACGCGGAGCCCGGGGAGGCTCTCCATCCTGGCTTCCCACCCCGGACTGGACCACCTGCACCAGAGCCCCACCGAGCCCGGCCAGGCAGGGAGCCAGGAGATGCCCCTCACCACGCACACCCCAGACGCATCTCGCATCTCGAGGTAATGAATTAATCAGTATTTACTTTCTACCAGTGAGTCATGGAGTGGGACAATTAGTGTAATTGCTCCCGTGACTAATTGCTGGTCTTCCCCCTTTGTAGAGATTCCAGGAGCCCAGAGCAGCCAGCTCCCACTTCTGCCCAGAGGAACAAATCCCCAGACCCAGGCTGACGGAGCCAGCAGGCCCCCACCTCCAGCTCCACACGCGGGAGTCCTGTGGAGACTGCTCCTGTCCCTGCAGTTCAGCCTGAAGTCACATGCAGAACGGGGAATGAGCAGGGACAGGACTCAGGCTCCTACTCCCAGACAGGGCAGTCCCCACTCTCTGTCCATCCTTCCAGGCAGGCCAGGGAGTGACCGGGAGGCCATGAGCTGGAGGAGAATATTTTTAATATTTATTTTTTAGTTTTCAGCGGACACAACATCTTTGTTGGTATGTGGAGCTGAGGATCGAACCCGGGCCGCACGCATACCAGGCGAGTGCGCTACCGCTTGAGCCACATCCCCAGCCCCGAGGAGGGATTCTAAGAGGTCTGGGAGGAGGGATCCTACGATGGGAGTAAAGGTGGGAGCCCAGACGGGGAGTCCCCGAGATTCCTCAGTGACCAGTGCCACACACCAGGTCTCCAGAAACCTGCAGGACAAAGACACCCCCCAGACACCTTCCAGAGCCACACAGACCCTGGAAATGACACCGCAGAGCCACAGGGAGACGGCCTGACACAGCCTGACACACACTCACCTAAAGGCAGCCACGGAAACGCAGAGTGGCCGCGGGCCCTTGGGTGCACACAGGCTCGGGCACAGGGAGACGGGGCGGGGCGGGGGTGCCACACAGTTAGTTCTGAGGCTCACACAAGCCTCAAGCCTCCTGCGAATCCATCGCCTCCACTCAGGTAGCTCTCACCTAGATACTATTCATCCCTCGCTCAGTAGCCATCGACATGACAACTGTTACCATGACGACCATCTCCTCCACGCTAAGGACCCGCAGCTCCAGCTCCCCACAGAGATGGGGGAGAGCACACGGGAACAGAGGACGGCGGGGAGGGGGAGGGGCGGCAGGGACCGAAAGGCAGAGGACGGAGGGGGGCAGGAGCAGAGAAAGGGACAGAGGGCAGGCTAGGGCGAGAGGGAGAGAGGCGCGAGTGGAGGGGACGGAGAGAATTCTCTCACATCTTAATTTAGCCTCACACTGATCAGAGGGACCGGGAAGGGGCGACCTGGTGACTTTCCAAACCGCAGGCAAGACAGCGTTCTCCCCCAATACCAGACAGCCCAGCCCCCGGGGTGGGGAAGTGGCCAGCACCACTGACCCTGGGGTGGGGGGCGGGGGGTTGGACTTAGCCAGGTCACCGGGGACCTAGGGGGGCGGGGCCTCCAGGAACCCAAGGGCAGCTGCCTCCTGCTCCAGGGGGTGGGGGACAGAGAGGAGGGGGCAGGGAACAGCCAGGGAAATCCTTAGAAGTCAAAGTGCCGGTGGAGAAGGGTGACAAACAGCCCTCGACCCCTAAACGACCTCTGCATTTGCATAATTTCATGCATAATGAGCATAAGGGCCCATGCTATTCCCTTAAAGAAGAACCGAATCCAAATGTCCCAGGACCCCC